AGTCTGGCTTATGATAACCTTACATCAAAGGTCCTTGACATCCTTGAAATGGTTAGTGAAAATGCCATGTCATGATGTTATTATGTCATAATGTTATGATTCTAGATGTTATGTTTATCTTCACACAAATAGCAAGCACAAACAAATCACTCTAGAGCCTTAGGTTTAAAGGCTTGCATGGGGTCCATAGGTAAGTACCCTTTTCTATTTGAAGTTAAGTTAGCTCAACCTGTCCTAAAATAGTAACTGGGTTCTAGGAATCTCATATCACGGATCTTTCTCGAAGGTTTTATTTTAGTATAGAAACTGATTTTCCACCAAAACATTCCGCGAGTCGAATCTCAATGAGTGTAGCATCGAGTCGGCTATCTCATTACCTTCTAATGGCCAAGATAGGTCAATTAAGGTTCTAAAAGTCAGTTAGTGCTTATGATACCACGCGGAAGCCCAACGTTATCCTCGATTTACTCAAGGAACATCGGTACAAACTAAAGTGCCCCACTAAGGTAGCCATCACTCCAACGATATCGGTCTATGCCATACATTTTCCATGATCTATTACTACTTACCTAAGGTCCCCTAGACCCGGGTGTAGGATCTTTGCAAGAAAGTAAACCCAATCAACCCTTAAAATAAAGAAAACAATGCAAACAATTTAAAGCAAGTAAAAAGTGATCTAAGACTCTAAGGTAACCCCTCTTTTTTAAGTATGTAATTACCCTAGCATAGTCGCCAGTTCTGTAATACGGTGGCAGAACTAACTTGTTTTTTCATTTTATTGCAAATATTACAGATAGCAAGAGTCGCCACCGGCTTTTCTTTTATCCAATAAGGGAAGGGTGAAAAGAACAGGATATACCTTGACAAATTTTGAGTTCGGGGGTAGGTTATGAAAAGGGAAGATGTTAGCACCCTTTTCATCCATAGTTATCTAAGGATTCTTAATCGCTTAGCTCACTTTTGAAAATTTGCTTTGCGTGTGTGTGATTTGTTTCAAAATATTTTGAAAATCTAATGTAAGGCTAAATTTGTAATGATTCTTGTATTAGTCCTCAAGAATGCGTACAAAGTGTTTTTGAAAATATTTGTTTGAAAATTAGTGTGAAAAATGTTTTGTTTGTGAGAAAAGTTTGTTAGCAAGTGATTAAAAGTATCCTACCCACTCAAGGTCGTTCTTGTACTTTTCTTTCTCCTTTATAGGTAGTGTTATCCATATCATTAGTTGGTAGGTATCCCTATCTATTGGATGTGAAAGGACAAGCGAAGGGTCATCGAAGGAAACTTGTAAGGATGCTGTAGTAGTTTCGTAAGGGAATAGATCATTTGTTCGTAGGCAACATCGAAGGGTCATTGAGGGACTTATGTTCTTTTATTCGAGGGTCTTTTCTAAAGCATCCCTACTTTTGAGAGACATGACCGTTATTTCGAAAGGCAACAAAGAGAGGCTACCCTAGAGGTGTAATTGTGCAAGTGTGTTCAATTTAGTTATTTATCTTTGAAATTAGGGTTTTACTATCAGTTGATTTTATCTTACCATACAAACCCTAATTACTAACAGTAGTATAGAAAATATAATAGAAGAAGGTAAATGCGGAAACGTAAACCTAAAACTATTACAGAGCTTTGGGGCAGTTACATAATAAGGAAATGCGGAAAATAAAACCTACAACTATTACATACTAGGAGCAGTTACATAACAGAAAAATACGTGAAAAAAAATAAAGCTACGTTATTACAATTTAACGCGTCCTATACACTTTATCTAGGAAAATAAAAATAAGATAAAAATAGAAAAGAAAATATTTTGGTGATTTTTTATGAAAAAAAATGATTTATGATAATTAATTAGATAAACCTAAAAATCTAACTCATTTTAGTATTAAAAGTAAGTTTAATTAAAATAAAATTTAATTGTTATAAATAACTTTAAACCTAGTTCAATTAGTGTTAAAAAATATTTGGTTAAAAAAAACTAGGGTTTAATTAACTAAGAAGATGAAAATAGGGTTAGGAAAAATAAGGAAAAAAATAATGTTGGGGTGGGTGTTGAACCCACGCCCCCTAGGGTATCAACGCGCCTACTTTACCACTGAGCCATTGCTGCTTTAGTGTTTAGAGAATGGAAACAACGCAACATATAATAAAACCTGTAAAATATTGGAAAATATGAAAAAACATCAAAAGGCAGGGATCGAACCCACGCCTTGATGTATCAATGCCTTAACATACGCGCGCTTGCCACTGGGGTGGTTGTGTCATCCGGTAATATTGTGAAATAAATTAAATATTATATAAAAATAATGGACTTGGTCGGAGAGGCGCCAGAGCGCTAGCTCGAGTCGTCTTCTCCAACGAGCTCGTTTTTCATTCCTGTAAAATATAAAACGTCAGTGGGTTAATGGTGCCCTAACCCCCTAATTTGGGCCTTGTGAATTCAATGGTGGCCTTTGTTTTGGCTAAATCACACTGTATGATGAGATACGAATCAAACAAGTTCGATCAGTTCAAATATGGAAAAGCATGATTCAGTCATTATGGGACTCATGCGATGGGTTTATCCTGCATATTGACATCTCAGAAGCACATTAGTGATGTTAGTATGCATCAAAACATAATGAAAATGACAATATAAATTTCATGAAAAAAACCAAAACCGGTGATGCATAGTATGAATCTCAGGCTCTTTGGATCATCACAATCGATCAATACTTACTCTATAACACTTATGGAATTGATTGGGACATCTGGTTGATCTTGAGGAAGACTGCAAATAGGGTTGAAGTTTCCCTAGTTTTTTGAGAATTTTGAAGTTTGGAATGTGGTGGTTTCTTGCAATATTTCGTGTCCCTCTTGTTGTCTGAATAATGAGAATATATAGAGGAAAATTAGGTCAAAAGAAGTGGGCTTGAACCTTTGTATGAAAGTCTTGATTTTATTTTATTTATTTTGAATTTAAATAAATAAAATCAAAAATAAATGGAATAAAGATCAAAGGGCTGTATGAATAGGTTCATAGGTTCACTATGAGGCCTAATACACGTGTGGACCTTGAAACATAAGCCCATTAGCCCAAAAATTCAAGTTTGATCAAGTTGGGATTCAGTGATTTTCTCAAAAATTTACCAACTTGAACCAATCATAACTCTCTCAATTTTTATTATATGAAGGAGATCTTGAACTTTTTGAAAAGCTCAAGATGTCCTCTACAATCTCTATGTTGATCATTTTTTTTATTTGAAGATTTTATCTTGATGTAAGTTGCCTTGACAAAAAGTGTCTTTTTGTTGACTTTTGAAATGACCTATAATGTATTGGTTCATATCTCTCAAATGAATCATTTTTTGGACTTTAGATTAGAGATAAAAAGTTGTAGAGAACTAAATTTCCTTCAACATGAGCTTTAGTTGAGAAAAATATGATGAAGCATGTGAAAGTTATGCTGGGTCAAAGTTCAGTTGACTTCTCCTTAAGAAAACCCTAATTTGGTAACTTTTGACTTTTAATGAATCTTGAGTTTTCTTGATGAATCATGACCAACCCTTGATAAAATGATGGATGTGACTTCAAAATCTTGATGTTGACCAAAAATCTTGAAGTTTGACTGTATGTTGACCATAGTTGACTTTTTATCCAATATAGTTTATTTTCAATCATTTAAGCAATTGTTTAAGCAATCTTGTGATAAAGGCTTGAAATTTGGCATGAGCATTCCTTGAGACATATGAGAAACCATGAAGTCTACTTGAGGCATTAGAAGTCCCATTTTCTCTGAGAAAACCAAAACCTTAATTGTAGGCCATTGCTTGGGAGAGGTGCTTGTATGCTCAAACCCTTGAATATTCTTGAGCAATTGAAAATCCTAGGAGCATAAGGAGATATCTTGAAGAAAATGGGAGGGTAAATTTTAGGGTGAAACAGAAGTCAACTTGAACTTCTAAATTTCATGATGACTTAGCAATGGTGTTTGATCGTGGTTACAAGAGCATTTCCAAAGAATATTCAAATCATATGGAAGATTATGCTATTCAAACACAAGATCAATATACATTCAAAGAAGTTACGTCATCATTATTCAAATGCATTTTGAAGAGGAAACATGTGCTAAATATGTGAGCTTTCTCATTGAATCCAAGAAGTACAAGAGTTATTACATGGTTTGTTACATCCAAGGTTACAAAAATGCTAAACCTAAACCTAATGTTCTAGCCCTAATCTTTATGCCATAACCAAACAAAACCTTTGCTGTCCATTTTTCCTAGTGGCACCAACATCCAAAAATGATCTCATTTAATATTGCAAAACAGTCCAAAAACCTGCAAAATTAGCATGTTGTTACAGCCCTACATAACAACCAAACCAGTCCATAAATAAAGCCAAACCATTGCATAAAAATAGAAAGTCAAACCCTGCGTTGATAAAGCAATAAAATAGTGCATCAAAAACTCACATTCCCTCCAAGAACTTTACTTGAATCCTCACTTTTGGCTCTCAATCTTCCCACAACAGCTCACCTCATTCACACTTTAAATCAACCTCTTCAAACTCATTGTGAACACCAAGAATATCCATAAAAAACCTTCCTGAACATCACTGCACCTGGCCTTAACCCAAAAATCCTTTCAATTGCACAACAATAATAAATGGTGACCTTCCATTAACCTCTTCAACCATAACCTCAAACCTCACATCACCAATGAACAACACATCAAAACACCTTTATATTTCCTCCCTACAAACCGTGAAATAAACATAAAACCCACTATGATTCATTTTCAGTGTTCTCAATCATAAACTCACTAGAGGATCCACACCATAACTTCACCATAATCCTTCAACTCAAGGTTCCAAACCTCTTCTCACAGCCCTCCATTCACTCAACTCATCTCTCGTACTCAACCTTCATTATCCTCACTCAAACTTCTCCCTGTAACCTCTCAAAACCGCCCTTGCAAATTTCAACTCAACCATGTTTCAGATTTACTTACACCTAACCAACTCCCATGTTCAACTTCTTCATTCCTAATGGAATAAGCACTCACATCATACACATACCACAAAAAGCAACACCGCCACGAAAACCCCGAAACTATACTCACTGTAACAGACCTCACTCTCATGCGGTTCAAACAACTCAACAAAAGACAACAATAACACAATTGTAGATCTCACTAACACATACAAATAACCATTACTCAGAGCAACAACAATTTGATGAGAAATAAGAAGAAGAAGAGGAAGGAATTAGAGAGCAGAAAAAAATTTGAATTTGCAGTTGTACCCTTCGCTGAAATTGTAATTTCGTCGGACTAGCTCCTACCTTGTGAGTTCTTTCATCTTCTACTACTGTGATTGTCATGACTCACTGAGCTTTAACCCTCTTTTTATTACTCAAATTATGGCTCCATTGTTGTTTAATTGTGATTTGAAGTAGTTAGGTTTGGTTGAGTTTTTTTTGGACGATTCTTTTTATACATGATTGTATTGATAATTTGAGAGTTGGATTTTAATCAAGGTTTAAGAATTAAAGATAACCATTGTCGATTGGCTGGGGATAGTAAGGTTTGTCCATGGAGGAACAGAAACGCAGACGAGAGGAAGAAGAGAAAACATGGTTGTGTTTTGCAGAGAGAAAATGAGATGAGATCGATCGAAGGTGAGAGTAGAAGGTTGAGCGGTGGCGGATTGAGCAAACAGAGAAGAAGGTTTAGTGGTGGTCGCGACACTGCAATCTGATGGAAGGGAATTGTTTTGAAATAGCTGAAAAGCCACACTTTTGAAACCTAAGCACCTTAACACATCGTTTTTTTTGCATAATCCTTGTTCTTTTATTTTATATTTTATTTTAAATAATAATAAAATCTGAGTTGATTCGAAATAAAATCTGTTGATGTGTGTTGTTAGACTCAAACGTGAAATGCTTGGGATTCATTGTTGCATTTTCCCTCTCTAAAGCCCAATGCAATGTTTTTTTTTAGTCTAAACTTGTGCAATAAAAAAAGGTTTTTGGACCTGACTTGCTGGTGGACTTAGTGAAGGGTGAGAAAAACATAAGAAATGGGGGTTTGAATTAGGTTTTCTAATAAGTTTTTTGTTCTAAATATTTCACAAAATAACTAAAAATAATATAACTAAGGAAAAACTAAAAATTACTCTTTGATTTATCCAGGTTCACCTTCAACAAGGTAACTTCTGTCCACACTCCTCATGTGATTCCGCCTTCCACAAGGACTTAATCTACTAAACTCAACAGATTACATATGCACGGACTACCTGTCGGTGATTAACAATAATCGTCTAAGAGTCGCAATAGACATCTTATACCTATCAAGTCTACAGACTAACAACCTAGTCACTTGAGGCAATAATCAATTCTAGACATAATTTTAATCAACTGTGCTTACAATGTTTGCTTCTTTAAAAAGCATATTAACAAAACAATGAAGTACAAAGTCTCTAATACAAATAATGAGCAACAACTCTTTGTATGGAGAACTTGTAAGATAAACAAAAATAATGAGCAACTACTTTTTATGTTTAATTCTTAATATCTTAACACAATAACGAGCAACAACTCTTGTGTTCTTGATATTTCTTTAGAAGAATATTTGAATAAGTATTTGAGTAGTGATTCTTCTTTTCTCTTGTAGTATCTCAATATTTAAACACTTTTTATTCAAGCTTGATAATTTTGATTGTAGTATCTCAATATTTAAACACTTTTTATTCAACCTTGATACACTCTTGCAGTATCTCAAGTTGACTAAAGATTGACCAGACAAATCATCCTCTTAAGACAATAAACCTCAAACTAGGGTTTCACTCCTCATCAAGATGTTTGAGTTCTAAGGTTCCCAAATGGTCTCCATTGCCCTAATATGTCCTCAAGATCATCCATGCCAAGTTTCATGCCTTTCATAACAAGTTTGCTCAGTCAACTGCTCAAATGCCTGAAAATCAATTATACTAGGTCAAAACTCAATTGTGGCCCAAACACAGCCAAACTTCAAGATTTTTGGTCAAAATCAACATTTTTAAGTGATATCCATCATTTGATCAAGGGTTGATCATGATTCCTCAAGAAATGCTCCTAATTCATCAAAAGTCAAAAGTTGCTAAATTAGGGTTTCTATAGGAAAAGTCAACCAAACTTTGACCAGACATAGCTTTTTCATACTTTATTAGAAATTTCTCATACAAGGCTCATTTTGAATAGAATCCAATTCCATACAATTCATCTTCAGCCCTCTAGTTCAATAAATGCACTCATGAAAAGATATAAAATTAGACATTATAGATCCTTTTTCAAAAGCCAACAAAAACACCTTTTGGGTCAAAGCTTCTTACATGAACATGGAAGATCCAATTGAGATGAAACCAAATAGGTTGCTTAGGGGACATCCTAAGATTTCTAAAAAGTCCAAGAACACCCTGTTAGGGTCAAAATTGAGAGAGAGATACATTGTCAAAGTTGGCCATTTTTTGAAATTTGCCCAAAGTTAACCATGCCCAAAAATACATTTTTCTTGAAATGGGCCTAAATATTTATGCTTGAAACACACTCCTAACATGGTACAAGACCCATGAACCACTCCATGCCTCATTCACTTATTTATTTAATTTATTTTGATTTTATTTATTCAAAATTCAAATAAAATCAAATAAAATCAAAAATAAATCAAATAAATGGGATAAGATTTGTTTTGGCATTGATTGAATATCTCATGAGATGTCAAATGAAGAATAAAATCGTGCAAGCTCAAAACAAGAGGAAATCTTCAAATGTGGAAAGATTGGAATCAAAAATTCATGACCATTATATCTTGGATTCTTTCAAATTCTAATGACCTAGATTGATTCTACTACGTATAAAAAAGCATTTGCAACCCTAAGGACAACATTACATGCGCAACCTGCCTCTCATAAAGGAAGAAGGTATTTCAAATTTTGTCAAAAAAATGTTGATCACATATCCCTCCATAGGCCGTTTCAAGCAATTCCAAGGACACAACAACAATCCTAGACATTCACTGAAGCTATCCCACTCATTTCCAAGCCTCAAAGAATCAAGAATCAAGCGTAATAACAATCACGGTTCGCTCCTTTTTTTAAAAATCGTTTTCCTTAATTCTGGCATTATCAACATGTTTTAATCATTTATTCATGCTTATTATCATGTTTGCAATATGTTTGGATGATTTGATTTAAGTTTATGCGCAAAAATCGTGAAACACCATTCTTAGGGTTTCAAAGCATGTTTTATGGCTTTTTGATATAGGTTAAATTAGGCCAAACCAAGGGTATATTCAGGCTCAGTGGGTAATTTCCAATCGACCCATGCCCTTGGTTGGGATTTATCATGCCTATGCTGCATTTTGGAAATGTCACAGGTTACAGCTATGGAATTTGTCCATAGGTATAAGTCCAATACCTAAAACGACGGTTCTGGGAGGAAGATGATTATGTGGCAGCCACACACTGGCTCGTTTGAATTTCGCGCCGTTTTTCTAGACAAAGCACTTTGCTTATGTTATATTTTATTTATATATTATATTAACAATTAAACAGGTTAGCTCAGATGGTCAAGCGTGCGTTTGAAAGTGGAGAGGACTTGGGTTCGATCCTAGGTCTAGACAGTTTGATATTTTCTGAGTTTCTTGTTTCAGATCTAGCGCATCTAACAACCAGACATCCATCATGTGCCTCCATATCCAACCGTTGGATCTTCTTTCAATCTAGATCCAACATCCAGCAAGCAAAGAACTTGGTGAACCTCCAGATGAGGGCTCCATTGGATCACGCGCAGGAAATTGGGCCATCACACTTGGGCCTTGGAAATTTCAATCAGCACCCCCAACTGAAGCTCATACAGGCTCATTTTTTATTCTTATTGTTTTTTTATTTCATTTTATTTATTTTGTTTTGTTTATTTCTAAAAATCATTTTTTAATTAAAACAAAAAAAAATCAATAAAATCACAAAAAAGGTAGGAATTAGATATTTTGCTAAAAAATAATTTTGTTAATTAAATAATTAGTATTAATTAGGGTAATTGGTTTATTTTTTTTATATAATTAAAACCCATTAGGAAATTAGTTTTAATTCTTAAATATTTTTTCTTCAAATAAAAAATGCCAAAAAATATTAGGAAATTAAAACCCGTCATCTTGTCACTTGTCTAATCAGTAGAAGGCTTATTACCCTGATTTGCGTTCACCAAGGACTCCAAGAATCGAGATAATAGTCAAACCATCTACAAAATCCCCGGTTGATATTTCCTACAACAGGTATCGAGACAGGGAAATTCTACTACAAGGTCACCACCATAATCTCAGCTTACAACCTATTGATGTCAAGTGTTCTAATAAACTCTGTTGTACCCCAAATTTTGCCCTCCCATATTTCTCAAAACATTCCAAGAAAGATCCCCAAGTTTCTCAAGCTAGTCCAAGGGTTCGCCAGACAAGCTCTCTCCTAAGGCAGTCTACCTCAAATTAGGGTTTCATGTTGCATCAAGATACTTGAGTCCAAGGGACCCCAAATGCTCAACATTGTCCCAATATGTTCTCAATATCATCCATGTCAAGTTTCAAGCCCTACAGAGAAAATTTGCTCAGTCAATTGCTCAAAGGCTTGAAAATCGACTATGCTAGGGCAAAAGTCAAATGTGGCCCACATACAGTCAAACTTCAATATTTTTGGTCAACATACTCATTTTGAAGTATATTTCATCATTTGATCAAGGGTTGATCATGATTCCTCAAGGATTGCTCATAATTCATCAAGACTCAAAAGTTGCTAAATTAGGGTTTTGTAGGAAAAGTCAACTCAACTTTGACCAAGCATAACTTTCTCATACTTTATGCGAAATGATCCATCCAAAGCCCATTTTTAAGGGGATGTCATTATATACAATCCATATTCATCTCCCAAGTTCAAAATATGCACTCACAAGAAGTTATGAATTTGGACATTATAGGTCATTTTAAAAAGTCAACAAAAACACCTTTTTTGTCAAAGCTTCATACATGAGCATGGAATACCAAATTGAGAGGGGACCAAAAGGGTTGCTTATAGTACATCTCAAGATTTCTAAAAAGTCCAAGAACACCTTCAAAGAGTCAAAATTGAGGAAGTTATGCATTGGTGAAGTTGACCTTTTTTGCAAAATTGTCAAAAGTCAACTATGCATAAAACTTCAATTTTTGCCAAATGGGCCCAATCTTTTTCACTAGTTTTAAGTTGGCAACATGGTCCACGAGCCCTAGCCTTTGCCACTTGTCATTATCTTATTTATATTATTCATTTTGATTTTTATTTGAATTAAATCATTTTAAATCAAAACAAATCATATAAAATCCAAAACATTGAAATTCAAAGATCTTGTGCTTGATTCAGGTCTTAATATCCAGCTAGCATCAAATCAAATTCGTGTAAAGGCATGGTGTGGACAAAAATATTGAATTAGGCTATTTTTGGAATGATATTCAAAGTGAATCAAATCACAATCAAATTCAATAATGGAAGAAGATTGAGTACATTCTATTAACCCTAATACATTCCTCAATACATATAGAAGGAATGTAGACCAAAAGAGGCTAGAGAAGGAGGCGCAACATCAAGAACAAAACTTGAAAAAACCAAGAAAAAGTGCAAACACGAATTCCTAGTTACAGGCCAATTCAAGACCCTTGGACCATTCCAATCGCTTCCTGGGATCCCCAGCAAGCAAAAGC